TTTTTTGTTTGTTTGTTTTAGCATCCTCTGTTCTTTAAGAAATCTGATGTACTCTGATTCTTAGTCCTTTTCAGATAATCTGTTATTTTTCACTCTAGAAGTTCTTAAGGTTTTCTCTTGATATGAAGAATTCTGAAATTGAATAAGTTATTGTGCAAATATGGATCCTAGTCCCCTCCCTAATGGAATAGCTTCACATTTGAACATATCTGAAGATTATATATTTTTTCTCTTTCGAAAACATTTTTTTCTAAAATTTCTTTCTTACCCTTCATTATCTCTAGTCTCCCCATCATTCTTCTTAAATGGATCTTGGGCTACCTGATCCATTCTCTGTGCTTAATTTTTTTTTCATACTCTTCATCTCTTATATTTCCTACGGTATTTTCAGCTTTCTTACCTTCATCTTATTTTTTATCCAAAGCCATTTTTATTGCTCAGGTCCTTCACTCAACTATTGATATTTTTAAAAATTCAGAAGTGGTAAAACTAATTTATAGAAACTCTGTTATTTTTTAGTTGCTTCTTTTTCATATAATTAGGCAGGCAGGTTTTTCTGCATTTTCTCTGAGAAAAAAATTAAAAAGGAATGGAAAATAGTGCAGCAGTTCTTCAAAAAGTTCAAAAGTTAATGTTAATAGTTAAAAGTTAAACTGACCCAGTAGTTCCACTCCTAGGCATATGCCCAAGAGAAATGAAAATATTATGTCAACACAAAACCTTGTATGTGAATGTTTATTATGGTATTATCCATAGCAAATCAAAAGATGAAAGCAATCTAAGTATCTGGGATGGATGAATGGATAAACAAAATGTGGTATATCCATATAACACAATGTTATTCAGCTAAAAAAAGGAGTAAAGTACTAATAGATGCTGCAGCATGTATGAACACTGATAACATTATTCTAAGTGAAAGAATCCAGTCAACAAAATCATTCACATATTATATGATTCCATTTATATGAAATGGCTAGAATAGACAAAAATACAGACATAGAAAGTGGAATAGCAGTTATTTAGGGTGGGGAAGGATGATGGGGATATTCGGTTTTGGTAACTAAAGGTTTGGGTGTTTCTTTATGAGTCAATGGATATATTCTTGATAGTGGTGATGGTTGCACAATTATGGATATATTTAAAATGATTGGATTGTAGACTTCAAATGAGTGAATTAATAAAGCTGCTACCAAAAAAAAGTTAAAAAAAATTTTTTTTAACATTTAGTTTTTTTGAGACAGAGAGCATGAACAGGGGAGGGTCAGAGAAAGAGGGAGACACAGAATCTGAAACAGGCTTCAGGCTCTGAGCTGTCAGCACAGAGCCTGACGCGGGGCTCGAACCCACAGACCGCGAGATCATGACCTGAGCCAAAGTCCGACGCTCAACTGACTGAGCCACCCAGGCACCCCAAAAAAAGTTTTTTAAAGAAAAAAAAATTTTCAGGTAGGCTAGGAAGCTACACAATTATTTGGGATATGGAGGACTTTCAACAACAAATTGGAACATTTAAACAAATTGTACTCTTGTGGGTAAGGTAGGAGAGGCTGGACAGTGTTCCAAATGGAATGTTTAAAGGAATTACTTTTTTATGTCTCCTATCACTGCTTTGTCAATTCTATTATGTTTTCTTTCTGTAAAGTTAGTATTTATTATTTCTTCAATTTGTGGTCTGTGTTTGGCCTCTTTGCTTGCTTTGTGGTATTGTTAATACGTTTTTTCATATATAGGTAAATATATAAATATATATGTATAAATATATATAAAACATGTTTTTTGACATCTGGTAAGTCTTGGGAAAGTATGCAAACATATGCATCATCATCCATCTTGAAATATGAGGTCCTATAATTTTTATATTTGAACTAATTCCAAAAGTAATATTAATAAACAAAATTTTGGTTTTTATAGAAAACTCTCTTTACTGACTGAAATGATAAAAAATATACCCTGATTTGTGTGTATTTGTAATTAATTAACAAGTAATTTTGATACTGCAGTTCTGATTTTGACTCACCAGTGTGCCATATGTGACCTCTGGCAATCTACTCAAACTTTATGTCTAACTTTTCCCATTTTTTTTTTAAGTTTATTTTTTATCTTTTGAGAGAGGGAGAGAGAGAGAGCGAGGGAGAGGCAGACAGAGAGAGAAAGAGATGATCCCAAGCAGGTTTGACATTGTGAGCACAGAGTCCGATATGGGGCTTGAACTCATGAACTGCGAGATCATGACCTGAAATGAAATCAAGAGTCTGACGCTTAGCCAACTGAGCCACCCAGGTGCCCCATTTCCCATTTCTTAAGTGAAGGTGTTCTTTTAGGTCCATTTCAGCTCTAGAATTGATCATGTTTACTCTGTTTATTTTGTTATTCAACTCTTCCAGCACCTCCAACAGTACTTTTTTGTAATAAAGGGATATTCTTTATTTGTGTATGACTTTGATAGCCACTATTCACACGTGGCTGCTGAGCACTTGAAGTATGGCTAGTGTGCCTGAAGAACTGAATTTTAATGAGTTAGTTTTTTAATTTAATTTATTTTTTTTCTTTTATTATTATTTTTAATGTTTATTCATTTTTGAGAGACAAAGAGAGACAGAGTGCAAGCAGGGGTGGGGCAGAGAGAGAGGGAGACACAGAATCTAAAGCAGGTTCCAGGCTCTGAGCTGTCAGCCCAGAGCCCGACACAGGGCTCGAACCCACAAACCGTGAGATAGATCGTGACCTGAGCTGAAGTCAGACTCCTAACTGACTGAACCACCCAGGTGTCCCAAGTTAGTTTTTTATTTTAGAGAGCATGCAAGTAGGGCAGAGGGAGAGAGAGAGAGAGACTATCTTAAGCAGGTTCCACACTCAGTGCGAGCCCAGTGCTGGGCTCTGTCCACAACCCTGGGATCATGACCTGAGCCAAAAATCAAGAGTCAGGTACTCAACCAACTGAGCCACCCAGGTGCCCCTGAAGAACTGAATTTTAAATTTTATTTAACTTTATTAGTTTAAATTTGAATGTCTGTAGCCTTCCTTGCCTCTTCCAGCTTTTGGTGGGTGTTGGCGTTCCTTGGCTCCTTATCACTCTAGTCTTTGCCTCCATCTTCACATGGTCTTCTCCTTTGTGTCTTTTCTTCTGTCCATTATGAGAAGACTTCTTACTGAACTTAGACCCCTCCTGGGTAATGTAGGAGGGAAGATCTTATCTCAAGCTCCTTAACTTACTTGTATCTCCAAAGCCTTCTTTTCTAAATAAGGTTACATTCACTGGTTATGGGGGAACATATCTTTATGGAGGCCACAATTCAACCCACTACAAATACGATCCAAAACCTTTGGAGGAATTGACTTTTGACAGTGGAGGGACCTCAAATGAGCCTAGCATTTGATCACTGTATATTTACTTTATCCATTCACTCTCCCTTTCTTCTCCAATCTCTAACATCACGCTTAGCTGGTATCTGTCTAGTTCAGAAAGTAAGTAGAAGAGGGACACTTGGGTGGTCAGTTGGTTCAGCATCGACTTCAGCTCAGGTCACGATCTCATGGTTTGTGGATTCGGGCCCTGTATCAGCCTCTGTGCAGACAGTGTGGAGCCTGCAGCCTGCTTCAGATTCTGTGTCTCCCTCTCTCTCTGCTGTCCTCTGCTTGTGCTCTGTCTCTTTCTCTCTCTCTAAAAAATAAACATTAAAAAAAAAAAAAGTACCTAAGTAGAAGGGAACTTCCCTTGAGCTACTGCAGCTACCTACCTCTGCATCTGTGCCTATATATTTTGCCTTTTCTACTGTTATTATTACATTGGTATTATTAGTGGCATACGAATTCTGCTGTCAAAATTCTGGGCAGGTTTGCTAGTTTTGTTTATTGTCATCTCAGTGTTTTACAGATGGAATCCCAAGGTAGTTGGATGTATGGGAGTGGGTATAACTCCATTTTTCCTATTCCTAATATAACCATATCTGTATTTGTCTTTTTGGTATTTTGAGGTTCTGTGAAATGTTTCATTTTAGTGAAAGGATCTACTTCTGTACTTTGTTTTTAAAGTTTTGAAAATACTTGTCAATACTGAAACCTTCCTTGAATATTCTATTCATATCCCAATCTCCCTTTTTTGACCAACCTCCTCTAGCACTTGCTGTCTACATTGCATATATTCTGTTGTTTGATAATTTGATGGTTTCTAATTTTCTGTATTTTCTCATGTGTATTCATCCTTGTCTCCCTCCAAAGCTTCTTCGTCCTTTGAAATTAAGGTACATACTTACGCCCCTTGGATATCTCTAACATGCTAAAGACATGCAGTAAGGAATATTGATTTGAAATCCAGGTTAATAAAGGCCATCTAATTTGAGATTTATTCAAATCAGTGTCCGTAGTTTTTTGCCTGGGTACATGAAAGTTTCATGTGTAGTGGATGTATGTAGTTTCCTGGAGAGAAGTTCTATAGCTTTTATCAGATGCCAAAGTATTATTTTATGGCTTTAGATATTTAGATATTTAGATAAAGCTTTAGATCACTACTGTCTGTGTCTTTATATGGCAGATACAGAAATTATGTCACCAAGCAGCTTGCCTAGAATCATACCCCAGTGTGTGGTTTCCCAATTCTTTACATTTTAAACTAATTGTCTTTATGATATCTAAAACTTTTTAAACTTACTAGAATTTACATTTGTAAGGATTCTAGAGATCAACATTTAATATGGGAAAATATGCATTGCTTATAAGTAATAATTTATGAATTTGTATTTTTACCTTTTTTAGTATAGTGGTTAATTATGGACAGTTTATATATTTTAAATTCTTATAATTGTACATTTGTAGAAAAATTTTCGTAAGTACAAATTCAGCATGCTTGTTTTTCATATATATTTTAATTCATTTATTCAACATAATTATATAATTGAAAATATTTTACTAATGGTGATTCAGTGTGCTTCTAATCAGAAAAATTTGCATTGTGACAACTGACAGATGCTAACTTACTTTTTTCTACTGTGATTTTCTTGTAGGTTTGATGATCTTGTAAAAAAATTCAAAGTCGAATATCATGCTGGTGGTTCTACCCAGAATTCTATTAAAGTGGCACAGGTTGGTTAATTATTTTAAAAGTTACAAAGAAATAGATTCGAAGTGATTCTAGATTTATGGTCATTGTACATAATTGTTCCAATCTATATTTTATTGCTACAGAATAGTTTTGTTGGTTTTGAATTGGGATTTTAGCAATCATTGTCCATCTAATCAGCAAAAATTATCTTACTTTAATTGGTATTCCTTTGATTATTGGTAAGCTTAAACATGCTTTAATATGTTTATTGTTCACTTATATTTCTTCTTAATTACTTATTGAATTCATTCACTGTTTATTTTATAATTTTTAATGTGTTAATGACTTATGGAAATACTTTATATTTTATGGAAATTATCTGTTGAAAGTAATTATTATTCATACTTAAAATCTGCTTGTGGTGTATTTTACTGTGCCAAAGTTCTTAGTTTTTTAAATATAATTAAACTTTATGGCTTTTCTGAATTTTCTTTATCTTAACAAACCTTAAATTTACCCATTTATGGACAGGAATTGTGGCTCTCCTCTACTTAAAAATACTAATTTCAATCTAGCCCTCAGTTGAAGATTTTGTTTGCTTTTCAGTTCCCCTAATATTTTGAGAGTACTTTTCCTTTCCATCTGACTGATAATCCAAATACATAATTACCAAATTATAATTTGTGTCTAGGATAACCACAGTTTTCAAAAACAGTACTTTAGAAGTACTTGCCTTTAGAAGGACAATTTCTCAGATTTTCCTTGAAAGTAATAGGAGGAACTGATTCATTTGTACATAAAGCACATATTTATTGAGCTCCTGGGATATGTGCTAGTCATTGTGCTAGGTAACTTAAGTTCTCGTCTAAATTTTAAGAAAAATCTGAAAATATAGTTAGAACCTTAGAGTGGCTGATCCCGATATGGTCTTAGTTATATCTAATTCTGATATGGTCTTGTTGAATGAGGACATTGAGGTTTAGTTTAGAGTGGTCTAAAAAGTATAGGCAAATACACTAGAAAGGAGTTGACAGGGATACCCACCAGGGAAAGTACTGGGTTTTGTTTTGTATTAATGTGTTTGGTTGGTTCGGGATTTTTCTTTCCATTCGAGTTCTCCTTCACCCACAAAGCAACTTGATTATTGATTTCCATTTTTTCTATCACTGTACGTTATTAAAGAAGCACGTACTGGGCAGCAACTATAAGCCCCATAGACCTATGCTCACAATGTCTGCCAGATTCTGTGAACTGGAGATCTAAAATAGGATAAAATATATGATATGGTAAGAATTCAGGGATCATCTATTCACAGACACTTAATTCTACATATTTTTTGATGGTATATACCATGTGAAATATATATTTTCTGTATCTATGTCTTTTTTATAATACATATTTTGAAATATTCAGTTCTTCCATTGAAATAAGAAAAACAGGGTGGATAGGATTCATAGATAATAAACTGGTAGCTTATAAGATTGAGACAAAAGTCATGGGATTTTTTTAAGTATAGATAGTAAATAATCAAGTAGTTTGGGAAATAGGTGAACATTCAGCTAGTTGAGGTCCTTTATAACTTGATTGCATCGTAAGGTGTTATACCGTGTTAACTTAACCCCAGCTTTTACCCTTGCTTCCTGCTGTTTGTTTTAAATGAATAAATGTGTTGGGGCGCCTGGGTGGCGCAGTCGGTTAAGCGTCCGACTTCAGCCAGGTCACGATCTCGCGGTCCGGGAGTTCGAGCCCCGCGTCAGGCTCTGGGCTGATGGCTCAGAGCCTGGAGCCTGCTTCCGATTCTGTGTCTCCGTCTCTCTCTGCCCCTCCCCCGTTCATGCTCTGTCTCTGTCTGTCCCAAAAATAAATAAATAAATTAAAAAAAAAATGAATAAATGTGTAATGTAAACATCATGATTTAGTTGGTAGGCCCTTTTTGTTCTTTGCCCTCTGGAATAGCTGGCGTATTTATGTACGTGGAGGTACATAGTGCTTCAAGGTAACTTCCCCACACAATACCAAGGTTAGGTGAATTTCTCCTTGTTCTGTGGTTTAATAATACTTTACATGGTAGCTGTGGAAAAATATGTCAAAGGGAAATATAATGAAAGGGAGCATTAATTTGCAAAGATCAAAACTTCTTTGAAAGAAGAACTAAAAGTCATACAGGGAATAAAGTTTAACATTTCACAATCAATGTAGAGCTCATTTTCATGGATCTAACCAACAACCACACTTTGACATATCCATTGATATGGCAAATCATATCAACAAGAAAATGTTCCGTTTAGTTCTTAGATACTTTGATTTGTTAAGTCCGTTAAATCATATTCTTAAAGATTTTAGTGAAACCACAGGTAACATAAAACAAGATTGTTGAGATGTCCAAATATAATTCTAGACTTTACTCATCTGTGTATTTGACAGACAGTGCAAATTTAAATTTTGGACAATTTCATTCAGTGTAATTTTTTTAAAAAATAAAATAAAAGATCTTATCTGCAAAGTGTTTTGCGCCCTTTGTATATAGCACTGCTAAAATGTGATGTGATTTGCTTACTTCTGATATTGAAGCTTTCATAGTGAACATTTTAGGGCACTTTTCAAGTTCTCAATATGTACAGGTACACTTAATGTGATTTTTGACTTTAAAGAAATGGAAGGAGATAGCCTCCTTGGACATGTGCCTAAAGAATGGCTATAATTGTTGTTGGACTTAGAAAAGATATCCTGCAGTAAAATATTTTTAAAGTGTGAGACAGGAAGAATGTCCTTGTCTAATTTGGCAATACATTGAGGATGAGAACGGAGAAAAAGATTATACTAAAACAGAAATTTTTATGCCATTTCTCCAAAAATGTTTGATGATATTTGAAGAAGCCATAAGGAGACTAGAAAAAACTTATACAACAAACAAATGTCTCATTTTTTGTGTAACATGACTGCTTCCTAACTCAAGGTGGAGAAAAAAAGTCACCACAAAAGGACAGCCAAGTTAAATAAGATCCTCTCAATGTCTTTACTAAAACTGTAACTCATTTGGAATGCAACTTTGATAGCATAAATTGAAATTACTAGTGTGCTTCTGAAATGATATTTATTTTACACATGGAAAGCAAAGATAATTAATCTATCAATGCAAAAGACATGATTGATTAACAGTTGGAATACCAAAACAAGCATTTAGATTCAAAATAGATGGATGTTTTGTGGAGTTTGAAACAATTTCTTACATATCTAAGTACCTGCCATTACTAGTAATTACAATCCTAAGTATTCTGTGCTTATTGAGAGGGTATTTAGCTTGATATCATCACAGGACTGACACCAAGAATATGGACTTGATACAAGCAGAGTGGTCAAAATGAAATTTACATTTAACGATACTCAATTTTACCACACTAAAAAGAAGGGTTCTACTCGGTACAGGGAAGTGTTATTATTGGAAAGGAGACACAAAGCATGAAACTATTTTATTTCATGGGACAAAAAGAAACATGTCATTGTTATTTTTTCTAAATACTGGTAATATTTGTTTAATCCCACTTTTTTTTCTCTTCTTTTAAAAAATCTTAGGGGGCACCTAGGTGGCCTCAGTCGGTTAAGCGTCTGACTTCAGCTCAGGTCATGATCTCACAGTCCATGAGTTTGAGCCCCGTGTTGGGCTCTGTGCTGACAGCTCAGAGCCGGGAGCCTGTTTCAGATTCGGTGTCTCCCTCTCTCTCTCTGACCCTCCTCTGTTCATGCTCTGTCTCTCTCTGTCTCAAAAGTAAATAAACGTTAAAAAAAATTTTTTTTAATCTTAGTTACATTTATATATATTAAGAATATAAAATGTGGCCTATAAAATTTAAATTCCAATAGAGTTAAAAAAAAAGATAAAATAAGTTGCTGAATTTATTTTATCAAAAGAAACATAATAATGATTATTATATTTTCTCACACATATTTTTTGATTAGTCCTACTTTTAATTTTTACTGATTGCCACTGTTAATTGTTCCTGTTGTTTCATTTAAATAGCACTCATGTTACAGAAAAGTAAATAATGCAGAATAATATGTTCTTTCAAATAGGTACTGTATTGGTTTCCTCAGGCTGCCATAACAGTACCACAGACTGAGTGGTTATCCAAGAGATATTTATTTTCTAATAGTTCTGGAGGTGAGAAGTCCAAGACTGAGATGTCAGCAGCTTTAATTTCTTCTGACTCCTCTCTCCTGTTGCTACCTCTTCACATAATTGTAATTCTGTGCATACCCCTGGTGTCTATTTGTTTGTATCTAACTTTATAAGGACAATGGTCAAATTGGATTAGGATCCATCATAAGGACCACATGTTAACTTTTTTATCACTTTAAAGGCCCTTTCTCTAAATACAGTGCATTCTTAAATTCTGGGGCTTAGGGCTTCAACGTATGAATTTGGGGAGGACACAATTCAGTCCATGTCAAGTACTCATTTGTATGTTTTTTATTTTTGGTAGTGTACCATTTTGATTTTCTTATTTTCTTTTGTGTATGTGTTTTAGTTATTTTCTTAGTGACTACCTTGGGGATTACAATTAACATACTAAACTTATAACAACCTAGTTTAATTACTACCAACTTAGTTTCAGTGGCATACAAACAGTCCCTTCCTTTGAAAAGTCCCTTTCCATCCTCCCCCATTATATTGTTATTGTCAGTAATTACATCTTTATACATTGCCCATTAATATAGATTTATAATTATTTTATTCATTTGCCTTTTAATTCCTACAGGAATAAAACAGGAGTTGCAAACCAAAAGTGTGGTAATACTGGCTTTTATATTTACCTATACAGTTACCTTTACCAGTGTTCTTTATCTTTTGTTATGTCTTCAGTTTACTATCTAGTGTCCTTTCATTTCAGTCTCAAGAACTCCTTTTAAGCATGTCTTGCAAGACAAGTCTACTATTAACAAACTCCTTTAGCTTTGTTTATCTGGGAATGTCTCAATTTCTCCTTTATTCTTAAAGAATAGTTTTGCTGGATATAGAATTGTTGGTTTACATTTCTTTTAGCATTTTAAATATCATCTCACTGCTTTCTGGCCTCCGTGGTTACTGATAGTCAGCTTTTAATCTTATTTATCCACTTCTCTCTCTGTTTTTAAGATTCTTTCTTTGTCTCTGATAGTTTGGTCAAGTCTTAGTATGGATCTCTTTGAATTCATATTCTTTGGAGTTCATTGGGCTTCTGGATGTGTAAATTCATGTATTTCCTCAAAATTGGGAAGATTTAGGCCATCTTATTTTTAAATATTTTGTATTTGCCTCTCTCTTTCTCCTTGGATTTCCATAATATGTATGCTGGTCTGCTTGATGGTGGTGGTTGTCGTCTTCTTCTTCTTCTTCTTCTTCTTCTTCTTCTTCTTCTTCTTCTTGATGTTTCTGTAGAACAGGTTTTGAGCTACCAGTTTGTTCCACAGTTATTTATCATATTAAAAAAATTTTTTTTTGTCTGGTATGTTCATTCTTGGATTAGCATTCTAAAAACTTGCTTACTCTACCTTAAGACCAGTGGCTTATTGTTTCATATTCCCACACTGGGCTATTGGTTTTCTTAAACCTGGACTACTTAACTTACTTACCTCTTTGCAATCCTTATTTTATGCTACTGTGTACTCTCTCAAAACCTAGATCCTCACAACAGCTTAGGAGATAGACCAGATGATGTCTTCGTTTTAGTGATAAGGAAGGATTCTGATTAAATAAGATAGACAAAAATATGCCACGATAAGTAACTAGGTAAAGCAGAATTTAAAACCAGGTGTTTTAACTGGAACTTCTGATTTCTCTCCTTACTGGAGATTTTTCTCTCTTCCTTAGAAGACTTCAGTTTTGACTCGTCTATATGTGTGAGGTTTTGAGTGTTTTCATAAACCCTCTCCACTTCTTCCAGTCAGCTTTAATTTTGAAAGAATTGGAGGTTGTCAGGGAAAATCAAGTATCCATCATTTTAAATGTAGTTCTGAGTAAACCAACTTGTTCTTTCATGCTTCTTAGAGACAGCAATTTTTCTTGATGTTTAGATACCTTTTTGATCCTTGGACATTTATGCTTTTTTCTCAATAATTAAATTTTTTAGAAGCCTGATGACCAGGTATATGAGGTATTCCAAAGTATTTCTATGTTGTTTTAAGTTATGTAGGTTCACTTGTTTTTATGTTTCTTGCAAGTTAATTTACTGATTTTTCTAATGTTCCGTAGTCGTTAAAAGTTTGTTATTGTTCTGGGCATCTAATCAAATATTTTAAGTGTCTTCTTATCCTTTGTTAACTGAACTATAAGCAGATCATCATTAGAATTGTTGAACAACAAAACTCAACCAAGTAAATTTGAAGCTTTAATTGGCTTCTTTAAATGATTTGTGAGTTAGGCAGCATCCCATCTCACAAGTAGAGGAGAGCTCTGTTGAGCTGCAGGAAAGGAACAGTTTTTATTTTATTTTTATTTTATTTTATTTCATTTCATTTCATTTTTTAATTTTTTTAATGTTTATTTTTGAGAAACAATGCAAGTGGGGGGTGGGCAGAGAGAGAGGGGGACAGAAGATCTGAAGCAGGCTCTGTGTTGACAGCAAAGGGACAGATGCAAGGCTTGAATTCCTGAGTTGTGAGATCATGGCCTGAGCTGAAGTTGGAGGCTTAACCAACTGAGCCACCCAGGTTCCCCAGGATCAGTTTTTAAAGGCAGAAAAGGAATAGAAAAAAAGGAAACTATTAGGAAAGAATGTTGCCCTCCTAAGGGGAATGAAAAGGGTCTATCAGTACATTTCCCAGTGCTGACCAGGAAATTTCATATTGACTGGTTAAATGTTACATTTTTGGGGGTACGGAAACTGCAGTTAGGTTAGGTATTAAGTCTTGATTTGCTCACGTGGGGCTCTTAACATAAGTGACTTCATTTTGGGCTTGTGGTTTTTCTTTTTAACAAATTATTGCTTCTCTCTGTTATCCCCCAACATGTTGAGGCTATATGAATTTTTATGACTCTATTCAATAATTAAGAGTAACCATTTTTCTATTATTTTAGTACCTGCCATCTTTGTAAATAAAGCATATTTTTCTCTCATTTGAAGCAGAGATCTTTGGGATGAGTGTAATGCCCCTGATTTCGAATCCGAGAGACCACCAAGGAGCCGATACCGATGCAAATGCACGAGGGTTTATTTGCAAGCTCGAGCTTGGGCCCAAGTATACCCGACACAGCGGAGCAGGGACTTGGTCCCCTAGGTTATGAGGTGTAGCAGTTTTATGGGGGCCGGTGGCCAATGAGATTGTAACACACACAGAAAGTTGTACATTCATGTCCACACGCAGGTGGCCAATTGAATTACAATTTACCCTATAGTAACTGTTTGAACTAGCCTATCACTCTGGTCGGAATTGGCACGCAAGTTTGGCGAGCAAAAGGCGGGGTTTACATTCTTTGGCGGTTAGGGGTTCTGCATTCCTAAATGAGCCAGTTTCCAGTAAGGGTGTGCTCAGCGGCTTGACTAGGGTGAGTGAGTGTCTTAAGCAATAAGTAGGTCATGTGGGGGTTATACATGAGATGGTGGGTGTAGCACAAAATGGAGTTAGTCTTGCTCTGCTTGTCCAGTGGTAGGGGATTTTTGTAAAATTCCTTGGGTCCCACATGAGATAATACTTCTTTATTTGCTGTAGTCTAAATCATTTCATGGAAACTACTAAAATTGTATATGTTCCTTACCCCTCTTTCTATTTGTCTTTCGTTAGTAGCAATGACACCTCTCATTACAAATGTTGTTCCTTGATCACATGTATAAAACTATCAGTAATAGATCTGAATTTTTTCTTCACATAAGCATTAAACATTTAACTTGGTCTCTTCTTGAATTCTTATATCCTTACCTCTGTCTTTTAAGTCCTAACCTGGTTCTCTGATCATCAACTTTCTGGTTTTCCAGTTTCTCCTCTCGTTCCCAGTTAGATAAGCTTCCGTATTTTTATTTAGCTACTAATGAAAATTTAACCAAGTTTTGTTTAACCAAGTTTTTGTTTTGTTTTTAATTAAATTTTGAGAGAACTAAGTACCAGGATGTTTATATTTTTATACAGGATTTTACCTGGAGGAGACAGGAGGAGTGCTTTGTTTTTTTTTCTTTGATGCAATGTCATGTAATGAACCAGCTTTCAGAATTATGTTTTAAAGCCCAGACTACGTACATTGAGTTCCTAAAAACATTTTTTTTAAGTTTCAAAAATTATATTTGAATAAACAAACATGTTGGGCCAAAAATTGTAGAGCTGGTATTTCAAGAACCGTGTCGCATCTCCAACTAAGTCCCATAGTTTTTAGAAATTAAAAGTGATGAAAATCAAGAGCTCCATATTTCTCTTCTTCTTAAAAAAAGCAGTAAATCTGTGTGTTTTTTTTGTTTTAATATATATTTCTGATTATCTCTTTTTCTTGTGACCTATTTCACCTGAACAAACCAGTTAGAGATTAAAAGGCTTTTTACTAGACATACCTCTGGGAACCTGAGAACAGTCCAGACTGCTTGTATTTAAAAAGAAGAAATGACTTTGGAGTGATCAAAGAGAATTCTCTATTCTAATGTCTTACACCTGGAACAGTTGTAGAACCATCAATAGCACAACTGTATTTATAAATATCAGAGCAGGATGTGGCAGATGGTGATGCAACACAGAGGCTTGTCAAGCCTTATGTCATTAAAAAGGAGGTTTTTGTTGGTGCCAGTTTTAAGATAAATGAATAATTTTAAGTAATTTGGTTCTTACAAAGTAAAGTTGACTATGCAAAGCGTGATTTCTCCTTCCAGTTGAAAAAACTTTAAATGTGAATTAACACCTTTTGTTGTTGAATTAGATTGTGAGAGACTTTAGTAGCTAAAATAAAGTGAAGAATGCAGTGTTTTGTTTTCTGAAATGATATTTTTAATGGGTTTGTGACATTTTTTAAGTTACGTGAGGTTATTTATTTATCTATTTTTAATTTTTTAAAAATTTATTTAGCGAAAATTTGTTTATTGGGATAGTTTCCCACTCATCTTGATTCAGGGTGGTTTTAGTGCTGCTTCCTTCTGAAGGAGCATCCTTCTGTAAGCCTTGCTTTTCTTCCTGTAGGCTGGCAGAGGACAGTGGAGCAGCCAACACACAAAACTACCGTTTGTGCATAGCTAAAGATGGTGGTGATTTTGTAGAGTCCTGGGCACCTCACGTCCATGAAGTAGGAGGTGGGGATCTGCAGCAGTCGCTGCTTCTTATGCTTCCTCTTTTCTTCCAGGAATGGGTACAGGAGATCCTTTTTGAGGGGCATGTTCTCTTGGGGAGGTGGTTACCACAAGAAAAGATGTCAGGTTTTTTTAATGTGAAGCAGAACGTGTACATCTTCTCCTTCCTTCCTCTCTTCTGTACCCACTCAATCCTTCCCTTTCTTCTTTATTCTTCCTTTCTTCCTTTTTTTGTTTCAGATTTTTTTGTCCCTTAATTATACCTTCTATTAAGAGATTCTGTTACCACTATATACCTTATAACCTTTAATGTGGTGCATTATTCTATGGTATGACATTAAACATGGGTACAATTTGAGATCGTGTTTCTGCTGCTGCTTAAGAGCAAAACAGAGAGAACTTCAGTAAGAAATACTACAAATGACAATATCTAATTTCATCCAGGGGATAAAACTCTTGCCTTGGTTTCATTCCTTTTCATTCTTTTTTGGAATTAGAATTCAGAAACTATTAAAATAAATGTCTTATGGATAATGTATTCATTTATTTGAACTGAAAAATAAAGTCAGAGCTCTCTGGGGAGAAAAAAGTCTCATTTGTTTAGTTGGTTGGACAATCAGGATGGTCTTTGCCAATTAAATTATCTAGTGGAAATGTCAACTGCCGTCTTTTTTAAAGAACAGCTTTTCTAGGGGCGCCTGGGTAGTTCAGTCAGTTAAGCATCTGACTTCGGCTCAGGTCACAATCTCACAGCTTGTGGGTTCGAGCCCGGCATCAGGCTCTGTGCTGACAGCTCAGAGCCTGGAGCCTGCTTTGGATTCTGTGTCTTCCTCTCTCTTTGCCCCTCCCCTGCTCACACTCTGTCTCTCTCTCTCAAAAAATAAATGAACATTAAAAAAAAAAATTAAAAAACACCTTTTCTAAAGTATTTCTTTGATCTTTGGTACTTTTGATGGTGAAATACTTGAGATAATGAAGTAAAAAGCAAAATAGTCTAAATTTTAGCAAGGCATAGTTATGAGGGGTGTTGAGGATGTGCTGTGGAGTTAAGCAAAGTTGGGCAAGCAAAAACTTGGACAAGCCAGCTAACTTCTTCAAGTTTCAGTTTTTTGTTTGTTTGTTTTGAAAAATGGGAATAATCCTAGTAATTTACAGCCTAAAAATTTTAAAAGAATAAAATTATGACTCTCATAGAAAATGAACACATGTCAACAATTTTAACTCATAATTAATGAGTGAACAGGTAAGTATAGTTGACTTAAAAGAAAATTCAAAGTCCAGAGACATGTGTGGTCTGTGAAATCAAACTACAAGTATTACAAAACTGACTTTTTGTTCGGGTGGCAGGTTTCACTTCTCTCTGTAGGATCACATTTTATTTACTGATTTAGAGACAAGAATTATTACTAAGTAATATATAATTTATGTACTTATAAAGTAGCTCAAAGGTGATAAAATGTATCAACCCCATAGAATCAGATAATCTAGAAGGCTATGCTCTAAAAAAAAAAAATGCATAGGCTTCCATTAATACCTGCAATCTTTTTGATCCATTTCAAAATCTTTCACAATTTTTTTCTTTGGTGGTGCTTAACTCAATATAGTGTGTTGTTAGAATTAAATTATAAAATATGAACAATATAACTCAGTACTTATACATAATGAGGGCTCAATAAATTGTAGTTATTATTACATTCTGAAAAATGTATATGGTGGACATTTTCCATTAATTGAATTAAACTTAAGCTGTAATTCCAGCAATTTGTTAAGACTGTATTTAAAATGATAAAATATACCAGATATTCCTTCCTTCACACCTATTTATCTCTCAACAACTTCTTTCAAAAATAGAAAATAATGCAATGGGGCCTAAAACTGGTTAGTGGATTGGTTCTTACAAGGATTAAGAAGTTGAATAAAATTTGAACTTGTTCTAAGCTCCTGAATGTTTACTTGGTTAGCTGGATTGTTTTGGTTACTGACTTGGAAATTCTTTGTTTACAGCTTGGAAAATTTGTTGGTTGATTTAAATTGATATAAGGATTGTTAATCGATAGTTAATTGAATGCAAAAGAAAAGAAATGTTAGTCTCTTGGTATTTGAGCATGGTACTTAAATAAAGACGTTTAAATGCATTTTATGTTAAATATAAACACTCTAAGTTTTTATTTAAGGAAATTAATAATAAATCCCTTTGTAAAAGAATTTTTTAGAGAATGAGATAATAGTCTCTAATTATTGCACCTAAGTCAGTTTCATAAATGTTTATCTTCCATACCACATTCCTAATTCCACAGTCTTTATTCAGTAATTTTCCTCACATTTTCTTAGGTTTCCATGTCCGTATTTAAGCTAAGTAAACATCACAGAAAGCTCAGAGCATGTTGTCAAAACCAGTTTTTTATTACAATCAGCCTCTTTTTGTCCCGTGGCCTAGGCCACTACAAGTATATAAAGAGTGCCTTGATGCTTCTGGATGCCAATGAATCAAGAATCACTGCAAACACCACTTTTTATCAAGTCCTGTGAACCTGTTTCTTCTGTTTAGTCTTAGAGTTAGATATTTGTTAGTCTTCACCTTCCCATGTGTACTTTCCTCTGCCTAAAATGCTTTTTACCATGCCATTTTTTCTCTCATCCCTTCTAAATTTACCTGTCATTTCCAGAAATAAATGCTTTTTCTGACTTTTCATTTCCGTATGTTAGAAGTTCTTATAGGAACATATATATCTCTTTATATAGCTTAACCCAGCTAAGTCTGTACATTTGCTTGTGATATCCTGTCATTAATTTCATCTTACCCTTTAACACCATGCAAATCATTGGTCATGGTTTTCCCCCTGTTTATTCATTAATGGATTAATATAACCCAATCAATACTTACCATATAATGGGCAAATGAATGAATCTCTGTTCCCTTTTGTATTATTTATTTGACCTTCTGATCATGAACACTTACACCTCTAGTCAAGTAGATCCTAAATTATCCTTACTTTTACACTTTATTATCTAAATCAGAATTAGAAGTGGCACCTGGGTGCTCAGTTGGTTAAGCGCCTGACGTCGGCTCAGATTATGATCTCATGGTTCATGAGTACAAGCTTCGCATCAGTCTCTGTGCTGACAGCTCAGAGCCTGGAGCCTGCTTCAGATTCTGTGTCTCCCTCTTTCTCTGTCCCTGCCCTGCTATTGCTAAATCAGAATTAGAGCCTTTTGCTAAATAAAAACCAGATCCAGAATCCTGTTAAGGAAGAGTTTATTCACAAAGGTTATTGTAAGAATGGGGAAAGGGACCTTTGCAATAGCGGAATGGGGACTATTGCAATAAGGAAAATGCTACCATTGTGAGAATCTGTAAGTATCTTAAAAGTCAGGTAGAAAAGGGGCACCTGGGTGGCTCAGTTGGTTAAGTGTCTGACTTCAGCTCAGGTCGTGATCTCTAGGTCCATGGGTTTGGCCCCACTTCAGGCTCTGTGCTGAGAGCTAGGAGCCTAGACCCTGCTTTGGATGCTGTGTCTTCCTCTCTCTCTCTCTCTGCCCCTCCAGCTCCCATTCTCTCTCTCTCTCTCAAAAATAAATGAGCATTGAAAAAATTAAAGAAGAAAGTCAGGCAGAAAAGTTTTTCTCGTAGAAGGAAGAGGGAATATTCTAGGAAGAACCAGTTGTGTGGAAGTGGAATGAATAGATATGGGTGGGTAGAGGTGGAGTGATTGGATAGTACAGAGAATGTTTTACTTTGAGATCAGCCTGTTCTTAGGAGGGGCTGTTAGGTTGTATGCTGGTTAAGAGTGGGGGTGGGTCAAAGTTCAGGGGTCTCAGGGAAGTAGAGAAGCTTTGAAACTAACCTTTGGTTAAGTCCCAGTAACAGATATTTTGTTGAGATCATTGGGTACTAATAGTTCAAGTAATCATTTTTGAGCAAAGAATGGGAATTTGGAACGTCTGTGTCTAGCCTTGTCATAAGGGAAACAAGGGAGTTATCTGTGAATCTTTTCTAGTCACATGAGGAAGAATGATTCCTTGTAGTGAACTATTTCAGGAACACAAAGGGGTGGGGGATTTCTTTAACTGTCTCTGGTTACTAGGATTGTAGGGCTTGAGGTAAAGTTAACATTGAGAGAGGAAATTGGAAACATGTTTTTAATACAGTTATCTTGGTCACTTCCTCCTCCTCTTTATCTTCAGCCCTGCGCCCCCCCCCCCCGCGCCTTGCCCCCCAGGGAAGAATTAGAAATCCGTATCTCAGATTCAGAAACCTTTAAATTATTGCTAAAATATTTAGTCCACGTAGTTGTACATTATCTTTTCCACAAAATTTTATTTTCTATTTTTAGTCTTTCCTCAGAATGATCTTTAGAATAATTTTATCTGTATTTTGAAAAAATCCTCCTGTGGCTTGATGGGAATTTTGTACATGTTCTAAATTAATTTGGGGTAACAGACATTTTTATGTTGTGTTTTGATCTAGTCAAATGACATTAGAATGACGTATCTCTACTGAGTCAAATGTTTTTTAATCACCCAATAGTTTTATAACTACGTTATATAACTACGTTTATAACTACGTTATAAAACTATTTATACGTACGTTCATATATGTTGTAAATATCATGTAGTGTGATACATTCTTATTCTTGTTGTTATTCCTACAACTTTAAAATGACATCTTTTTTTTTTTTTTTTTTTTTTACCATGCTTTCCAGGTGATTATTGCTGGTATAGGAAGAGATATAGTTATTTTATACTCAGATACAACATTCCTTTACTGATTCTGTTACTTTTTTAGCTAATATCTTCCTTTGAGTTTCTAGATAATTATTCATGTTCCCTGAAAATTTCATTTGTTTTTTCTTCCTTTCTTTTGTTTATCCCTTTTTCATATGCTATTGCAGTAACAAGAATTTGAAAACTCTTTGGAGAATTGTAATTTTGATTTCTGAAGGTATGTGCTCTGTGTCAGGGAAGAATTATTCTAATCCTGGTATTTTTACAACTTAGATTAAATGGCTGTTGAGGGGCACCTGGGTGGCTCAGTTGGTTAAGTGTCTGACTTTAGCTCAGGTCATGATCTTGCTGTTGTCAAGTTCCAGTCCTGCGTTGGGCTCTGTGCTGACAGCTCAGAGCCTGGAACCTGTTTCAGATTCTGTGACTCCTTTCTCTCTCTGTGTCCCTCCCCCACTCACACTCTGTCTCTCTCTCTCAAAAATAAATAAACATTTAAAAAAAAAAGTGACTGTTAAGTTGATTACATAATTTATTTTTAGTTTTAGCTTATTGTTAAAATATAAGCATTATGATGTCAGGCGCTTTGCCAGTTTTGTTCTCTGTTGTTTACCCTCAGCATTTCCAACAATATCTGTCACTTAGAAGACATTCATTGAACATTTTTTAAGTGATTTAGTGAATTAATAGACATAACCCTGTATAAACAAGCTGTATTTTTCTTTACTGTTTGATTATGTGATTTGTATTAATTTTATTTAATTTTTTGATGAGTCAAAACATAGCTTTTTGTTTAAAC